TCCTTCCTTCATCCCCTTCCCACTGATCCTGCTCCCAAAGTGGTGGAGGAAACACAACACTGGAGCCCAGTTGTGGTCAGCCACAGGAAACCAGCTGGAGATGCTGCTGGGAGCACACTTTGGGGTGGGAAAAGGCAGGTGTTGAGCTCAGCAGCTGAGCAGCAGGAAACACCTGGAAACAGGTTGAAAAGACAGTTATGGGAACAGCAAACACACAACTCCAGCCGCTCAGCAAACCCCCACTTCCCAAAGGCAGCAGGATTCAAGGACCTCAGCACCAGAACTGCTGCTGCAGCAGTGACCCCCAGCACAGAGATACCTGTGAACCGCTTCAAATGCTTCTGTCCAAGTCCCAGCAAGGTCAGCTGAAACCAAAACAGACCCTTCTTGCAAGAACCAGCAGGAGGGCAGAGCTCAGCTCCAGCCACTTCAGGATATCAGGACCTGTCCTGCACCTCCCCTGGGTTTGCAGCAAATTCCTCCAGCACCTCATACCCAACCCTGCAGGCATCAACAGCAAGAGGACTCCAAAGGCTTTTGATTCTTTACAGCAGCTACAGCAGTTGCAGGCAATATTCCAGCCACATCTAATCGTGTTTTAACACTTAATAACCTATTTTCCCCCATTAATCCCCAGCAGCAGCAAGCTCCACCAGCAGATGTACATCCCACCAAATCCAGCCTGGGGCACAGCCACGGGCTGAGGGACCACGGCCAAATCCCTCCCAGCACCATGATTAGAGAATTTGGTACTTTTTCAGCATCAGCCTCCTGCCCCCTGACTCCAGCAGTAAAACAACCACAAGAAAGATGCTTGGGGGAAAAAAAGAATCATCAAACACATTAAATTCTAAATAAGAAGAAAGAAGAAGGAGCAGAAAACTCAATCTCTTGAGTCTAGAGACCTTCCCAAAGCATCTCCCACATTCAAAATTTATAGACTTCTCTGTTTCCCTTTTCTATCTACATCTTTGTTTGCAGAACAAATTCTTTCAGTGGCCATTTCAAAACAAAGGAACCTTTGTCTGTGTTTACTTGACAGCAGCAGATTAGGATAAAATAAGTTGCATTTCAGAAGGGTTTTTTTATTTATTGTTAAGATGCAAAGCCTCTACTGCAGCAAATCACCAAGCAGAGAATCCATCTGACGAATGATTTCTGGCACACACCGAGAAACTTGGCTTTTGGAGAGAACCTCTGAGAAAGGTATTCACATACAAAAAATCAAATTTTAAATGGGATTAACTTCTGGACTGTGACATTATCCATTTCTCCTTTTCATGCTCCTGCCTCACATCTATGTTTATTTTGGTTATGATCGGCTGCTCTCACAGTTCAGGAGCCAGGAAAGCTCTGGGCAGGGCTGGGGCATTTTCATGTCTCCCTTTGAATTTCAATAGCTGAGGCTCAAGGCTGGGCTGGGCAGGCCACTCAGGGAGAGACAGGAACAGCCCCAGCCTAAACTGGACCAGGGACCATGAACTTTAGTATTCATCCACAACCCAAATGATTTTTTGGATGCAGATGATTTTAAAGCCAATGATTTTTTGAGATCCCCCAGCTCTCTGCAGCCACCCCAGGACAGGCACTGAAAGGCATGGGCAGCTTTCCCTGCACAGCTGAGTCTGGCAGGGCATGAAACAGCCACTAAAGCTGGGATCAGCCCCAGGAGGGACTGCAGGAGCTGACACTCACTCATCACAAGCCCACCCCATTTATGCTCCAGCCCCACTGCAGAGCAGCTCACCCCAGAGCACAGAGGAGGATATCAGCAGCTTCTCTGCAACATCCATCAAATATTGAATAATGCTCCAAAGGGCACTTCAGGAGTCCAGGTGGAGCAGGGACCAGGCTCCTTCCCCACCAGGAGCCCATTCCCAGGAAACACTCAGGCCTGGGCATGGCAAACCTGAGGCCATACACCCAGGAACTCTTCCCAAGCTACTGGCCATGAACCTGTCCAGGTTTGTGCAGATTCCCACTCCTCATCACACCAAGAGCTCATCAGCCCAGCACAAGTAGCCTGCTCCTCTGAGCTCGCCTCCAGCCCAGCACTGTGTGCTTAACAGCAGCCATAACTGCCAGGAATATTTCCTGGGTTTCCCTGGGATCCAGAACACATGTTAATTAAATGCCAGTTTGTTATTCAAACAGACCTTTGGAGATTTCACATCACTAATAAACAGCACATCCATTCCTGCTCCCACCCTCCCCACTTCGATGTTCACTCCACTCTCCTCCAGGAGTTCTGCCTCCCCTCGGCCAGGAGCGACCTCTGGAGTTCCCTCCTCAGCCTCCTGCTCCGAGCAGAGGGGCTCAGACCTGCCCACAGCCCCACATCAGCTGGGTGTGCTCTCAGAGCCTGCAGGGATGGAGATTCTCCACCTCCCCAGAGGCTGTGACTCCCCATTTCCCAGTGCACCAGGGAGCCTGCCCAGGCTCCATCACCCTTCCTGCCTTTTCCATGGCTGGGATAGTTGGTTCTTCCAGCCATCAGGTGCTGCCCCCAACAGCCACAGCCTTTCACAGGTGACAGGGGGAGGTCTGTGGTGACATTGGCCAGATCCTGACCAGCACATTCCCTGAGGCCTTGGTCCCACTCTGCTTTGGGGTTACTCACTCCTGGCAACAGCTACATCACCCTGGGGCACAGGCAGTCCCTACACACCTGTGTGACAGGAGCTGGAACCCCAAAAGCCTGGACTGGGTGTTAAAGGGTGAGAAAAAGCCCCTCAGGTTGTGCCTGCCAAGCTTTGGGGACAAAGAACACAACCTTCCTCCAGCATCTCCCTCCAGAGACAGGAGAGAGGATGCTTTGTGTTTGAAACCAGTGTGTGAGGCCATGAATGAAGCTCATCTTCCCCAATAAGAAGCACAGCAACTGCCAAATGTGCAGCAATTCATCTGGAAGCAATAGTTTGTTTGGCAAAGCCACTGAATATAGGAGAAAAAATTGGATTTGCATTGAATTTTTGAGCTTTCTAACAAAGCAGGACTTGCCTTACCCAGTTAGAAAGCTAAGAGACCAAAACCTTGAAAAATTAGAGGACATAGGTCACAATTTATTTATTTTCTTCTTTAAATGAGACCAGTCAGGCATTACCAGAAGCAACATTCAACCTGCACCACCTCAGAGCAAAGCAGCATCTCTCCCAGCCAGCAAGGCCAGTGCTCACAGCCCTCAGCAGAGCCAAAGAGCATCAGGCAAGAGGGTGAACCCATTTACACACCTTGATTTAACCAGCTGAACCCCCAAGTGTGCAGGATTTGAGGTGTGAGGGCCTGAAAAAGGAATTTGTTTTGACCCAACTCCAGTGCTGACGCTGCTCCCAGTAAACCAGAGACAGGCCAGGATGCAGTCAGTGGGTTCAAAGGTCTGGGTTAAATTAATGACAAGGATAAGGATGGGAAAAGCCACTCCAAGTCATCCAGAAAGGGGGTAAAGAGCTGAGTAATGGGGTTTCTGCCATTATTTTACCCCAAATTTAGAGCCCTCTGGGGTGACCCCAGGTGCTTCTGCAGGTTTCTGGAAACCTTTGCTGCTCTTTGCAGCACAACCTGTGCCACACCTCAGCTGGCCCCACAGTTAATCTGTGTCTCTGCCTTTCTTTCACCTCTACAAACTTCAAGGACACTGGGGCTCCTCTGGGACAGAGAGCAGCTGTAACACTGTCACCTTGGTTTTAAACTCAGCAATCTTTTCAGAACCCATCTCCTCAAAAGCCAGGTCTGGAGAAGGTTTGGAGAAGAGGGTGGTCTGGGGGCTTCTGCCCACTCTCCTTGTGCTGTTTCTTATCCCAAGAAGGAAGAAATCCCCTAAAACCAGATTTCACTCACCAGCCATCCCGGAATGTGTGCTTGGCTTGGGGACAGGAGCACAGAACACACCTTCCCCATGGGGACACGTACCCTGACAAGTGCAGAAACACTGAAAAGCACTGACCCTGCCACCACTTCAGGCTGAGGTCACCAGGAACACACCAGTCCTTGGAAAAGGGGTTTAATGGAGCTGGTGATGGGGACAGGAGGGGAGGGTCAGCCACCATGTCCTCCATCCACAGGGAGAACAGAAATCCAGCGGCCACAGACTGCAAATCCATCTCTTGGAAAGTTAACTGAGGGCTTTAACACCACCCAGCTTCTGGAAACCACCACTTGATCCCTCTCCTCCTGTAGGGAAGCAGCAGTGCCTCAAGGAAAGGATTTAATGCTCCAAAATCACATTCTAGGTGAGGCTGTGGAGCTTAGATCATTCCATATTTTTGGCACGGAGGAGGAGAAGACCACGGTGGCCTGACCAAGCCCATCTCACCCTGCTCAGGGGAGTTCAAGCTGGGCAGTTCCCTCTCTGTGTTTCACTTGACTGGAATCTCAGAGGAAAGGTCAGGGGAAGCTCCATCCATGGCAGCAGTGTCCTCCCAGAGCAAGGGCAGGATGTGACTGTCCCACCACAGACCTGTCTCCTGAGCTGATTTCATGTCTCACCAAAAAAATGCAACGTAACACACACTTGCTAAAAATCAGAATATTCCTCTTCTACATGTCAGTATCTGCACAAAACCACAAAGGCCCTTTATTTTCTCTTCCTAAGGAGCAATTTCCACTTCCTGCAGACCACAAGTGCTCAAACCCACCGAGACCTCCAAACTCCTGAGCCAAATGCTCCACACATCAGCCCAGGGGCAGCCCACAGCTCACACTGCTGCCAGCTGAGGGTCTGATCCCACTGCTCTCCCGTTTTCTGCTGCAAGCCAGGGTCAGCACCCACACTCCAGCATTCACCCCACTGCCTCACACCTCTGGGCACGAGCACAGCCAGCTTTGAGCCACACAGCAAGAGAGGCCAACAGGGCCCTGAGCCATCCTGGTAATCCCAAAAAGGGGCCAGGAAGGACCTGTGGGAGTGGAAGATCCAAGCACCATCCTCCTGCATCCCTGGCACTCATCAGCTCAGCCCTGGAGCACCTCATGGGGCAGGCCGGACACGGGGCCGCGCTCACCTTCGGTGCGGATGGTGAAGGGGGAGTCCCCCAGGCGCTTGGCTGAGAACTGCCCTCCCAGGGACGTCATCAGGAAGCACAGGGTGAAAAATCCAATGCCCAGCACGAAAATCCTGCGGGAGAGAAAGCAGAGCTGGAGCAAGGTGTGATGAGGAGCCACCTCCTCCCTCCCGGGCCAGCCCCAGCACCCCCTGCCCCTGGGGTAATCCCTTCACACGACAGCAGGAGAAGCTTTGGGTTTCTGGGACAATCCCAGCTCCATCCCTGGGGCTCACCCCACCCAGCCCTGGCAGGGAGCATCTGTGCAGCCCCAGCCCCACCTCACCCCAGCCATGGCCAGACCCTCATGAGCTCCACAAAGAGCCCAGGGTGCTTCTGCCCAAACCCTGGCACTGAGCAGGGGGGCTTTTCCTGAGAACCCCCCCAAAATCCCTGCAGCCTGCTCCAATGGGCAGGCCTTGAGGAATCCTCCTCTCAAGGGGCAGGGGTGGATTTACATCTTCAGTGGGGAAGCTGAGCCAGACCACAGCTGGCCATACAATGCTCCACTGGGTCCAGCCCAACAACCCAGACCACAGGAACCACTACAATAAACAATACCTGTGTTCCTCTGGGAGAGAGGAGTAAAGAGAGACCTCTACCTTCCCTTCCTCCCAAAGGATCTAAAAAAAAAACCCTTTCAGTTTTTTAAATAAAGCCTTTTGTTCCCCTGTAACTAGGCCACCGGCATTGCACTACGGGGCACAGGGGGACCTGCAGGGCAGCACTCATGTGCCCTGGGGCCATCCCATCACCACTGTGTTCACCAGGACTGGCAGGGAAGTGGCTCCCAGGGGACACACGTGGCAGGATGTCACCTGCAGGTCACCTCCAGGGAGGACCAGGAGCTCCCAGCACTGCTCCTGCTCAGGCCAGATTCGGGCCAGTCACTCTTCTGGGAGCGGAAGGGCTGAAGGCAAGAGCTCTGTGCCAGCCTGGCTGTTGTGCACCAGGGAGTGTAAAGCAGAGTGCTCTGTGCCAAGGGAAGGATGTTTGGCCTCCTTCCACTGCTCAGAGACGCTGCCATCATCCCCGAGACTCTGTGGAGGTGCCGCAGCCTCCAGCGGACACACGGGAAAAGCCCTGGCAGAGCCACTGCCAGGTGTCAGTGTGACAGCTCCCGGAGCAGCAGCAGCATCTCAGCCACCAAACCCAGGGGAAATCTTGAGGAGGAGAAGGAGAAAAGACAACCCCCAGCCAGCCTCGTGAAACAACAGGTTTGTCTTCCAACAGGTAAATCCCGTGTGGGACAGGGAGCTGAGAAAGCCCTCGGGGCTGCCCGCTGCCATCGCTGCCTCTCAGCATCCCTGAGCCAAAGGGAAGCAAAACACGGGGGACAGGAGCCTCCAAGCCTCCTTTACAAGCTCACAGCAACCTCCACAGGGCTCAGGAGCTGCACACAGACACAGCACAGCCACCCAGGCTTTTCCAGGTGCAAAGGAGCCCACAGACCTCCACCTAAGCATTCCTATGTAACTAAAAAGGCAGAGGAGCAGGAACCAGCCTTCAACTCTGGGCTACAGCACACCAGCACCACAATTATCTGCTGCTGGAAAGGGCTAACAAATAAAGTGACCTGCTTCAAAACTCTCGTTAGTGACTGGAGATGTTGTGGAGAGCTCAAGTACGGGGTCAAGCAGCTCAAGAGGGGCTGGGCTTCCCCAGGGAAATCTGGTGGAGGAGCTCCCAGGGCAGCTCCACACTGTCCCAGCACAGCATGGCCAGGCTTTCCTTGCCTGGAAAGACCCCTGGGCAAGACATGGCACTTACAGGAGATCCCACAAGCTCCCTACCTCCATCCAGGCAGCTCTGACGCTGCTGTCACACAGAGAGCACACACCTGAGCCCCAGATCCAGGGCAGCCTCTCTCAGCAGCAGCCAGCTCAAGAACAAAGGGTTTCCTTTTCCTGCTCTGAGGAGGATCAGCCTTGCTCACAGCAGACAGGGCCCTAACTCCTGCCCATCCCCATGGATCAGCCCTGCCCCATCCCTGGTGGATCAGGGGCACCTGGCCATGGGCTCTGGACAAGCAGCACAGCACAGCTCCCCATCCCCTTCTCACCTCCCACCTAACCAAGAGGAAAAGCAGCACCCTGGGCTTGTCAGCACGAATGAGCCCTGCCAGCAGCACACTCAGCACCAGCACAAACACTCCCTGACAGCCAGGCCCGAGCTGGCCTGCCAGAGCTGACCCACCTGGGAAAGGGGATGCTCAAGCACATCACTGAAACTGCCTGACATCTCCATGCAGGCTTGGACCAGCTCGGGTCCCTTTAATTTCCAAATGAGCTGCCCCTGGAGGGGTGGAAAGCGGTTTCCACACCATATATAAACCACTGTGCACTCACTAATCCAGGCGCCCATCCCTAAAGGTTTGGCTACGGGCACAGCTGGTGAGCCCCACAAGCAATAACCAGTGGAGCAGAACCACCCCCTCCCCAGCAGATGCTGATGAACCATCGAGCTGTGGAATCTGCATTCAGACATGAGCCAGACCTCAGCCCCCTCCCCAAAGCAGACCTGGGAGAAGGGTTTCCAGAGAGCCGTGGTCCAGCTCCAGCAGAGAGGTGATTGTGGAGGCAGCAGAGCTTCCCTGATGCTGCAAAGCAGCGTGGTGTCCCATAAATAGCTTGGAGAGGGGGTGATCTGGGGACATTAGTGCACTGCCATTATCACAGCCTGAGCCCAGTGCAGTGCTGGGTCTGGGAAAGGCTCTCAGGAACACACTGGAGGGGGTGGCTGCACCCAGCTTGACTTTGGAGGGCTGAATTTACCCTTAGGGAACACTGTGTGCCTCAGCACTTCCCTGGCAGGAGAGGACAACAGCAGGCTGGAGAAGAAACAAGCTGAAGGGGATCAAAGCCCAAACAAGTCCTGCACCCGAGGGCCCCCCCTGGGAGCACATCCTGGTACCAAACCCAGCCATGGCCCTGTCCTGCTATCCCCTCCCCCCAGGAGCATTTTAACAAAGCATCACCTGAATAAATACTCAGACCTGATGCTGCTCTCACACCTCCTATTGACAATATCTTCATCATTATGCGAGACCTTGTTGATGCTTTTTAATCTTCATAATTATAGTCTGGCAAGGAGGGATCGTTAAACACCGAGCAGAAAGAAAAAGGGGAAGGGAAGAAAAAGATACAAAGGTGATCTGTGCTTTACCATCTCCCTAGGAAACTAAACCTTTTTCATTTTGACTGGATTACAGAGAGAGTAGGGGAGATGCAAGATGCTCTTTCCATAAAAAACAACAACAAAAACAAAGGGAATTGGAGCCTTACTGGAATTACTGTCCTTGGGAGATCCAGCCCAGAGCAGGGCTCCAGGGAGCAGGGAGGTTGCAGGGCTGGACCCTCAACCTGAGAACCCAAACTCCTTTACTTTTGCTGATGTTCTCCAGGTGAATAAAAATGCCTGGGTCAGATTCAGCTTAGTGAAAACTCCTTATACAGAAAACGAATTTACCACAAAGTAGATAAAACATACCAGATCCCAGCACTAGCTCCTCTTCCCCAAAATCAAGACTAGCTCCCTGAAGACTATGGAGTTCCAAGGACCAAATAGCATCTATCCTGCACGCTGGCTTTGCCTGTCATCCAATGTCACATTTAATTCATCACTCAGGCGCAGTTCTGGTGCCAAGTCCCTCTCCACATCCTCCCCAAACTGAAATGTTCACAGTTCTGGGCTCTGGCTCAGTGCCCAAAAGAGAAGAAAGCGAAATTCCTCAAGTCTTAAATGAAAATTGGAAGTGATGCCCCAGTCACGGAGGATTTTGGCCCATGGAACTGAAAGCTGGGTGTGACCAGGAGGGTCTGAGTGCTGAGTTGGGATGTGATGGGGGGAGAAAGGCCAGCAGCACCCAGCAGGATGGGACTGTGTCTGGGAATGTGACACTGGGACCATGCCCATGGTGCCACATCACCCAGCAGGGACCCACAGGGAGAATCCTACACAGGTGCAGGGGGAAACCAAGGGCTACAGAGTCAGGTTAAATCTTTTATTAGACAAGTGTTCAGCTCCCAAAAGCTGAGCCACCATTCCTACCAGCACAGGTCAGGTTAATAAATGACCCCTCTCCCTCAAACCTGTTTTGCTGGGAGCCCGACAGGGTTGTGCTGCTGTCAAACTGATGCTCAGCCATGGGCACCGTGATCCATGCAGGGGACCAGAGTGAACTCTCACACTGACCACTGTTACATCCCACAGAACGCCTGGATCTGGTTTCCAGCTGGCAAACAGAACTACAGAGCCAAGAGCTGGGCGAGCTGGACTGGATTCCTTGGTGAATTCTTGCCCGTATCCAGCACCATCACAAACGAGACCTCCTTTGCTGCTGAGATGAAGTCAGAGCCACCCTTGGACACTCTTGTGGTTTTCCAGACTGATCTGCTCCCTCTTCCCTTTCTGCAGGCGCTCTCCCAGCTCAGGGCTCAGCATTGCTTTGTTAAACGTGTCTGGAGGGTGGTTAATGAAATGTTTTGGTGCACAGGATCAGGTTTCCTGTGTGCTGTTTGCCGATGGCACCGCTCCTCCTGCTCCTCTGATGGCTGTGATCCACATCAGGCAAGGGATTGCACCACGGGATTCCCCGGAGCAGTGAGGCTCTGCCCAGCCAGCAGCAGGGAAACAATTTCCAGGACCCCTCCTGATTGCCAGGATCTTCTCCCACTCCTGGAGGTTATCCCTGACCCCCATCAGCCAAGGATGTGGGGTGCTGACGTTAGGGGAGCAGAGCTGATTGGCACCGGGTTATGGCTGGAGCTGGGCAGAGCCAACACTCACCCACGCTGGGATGGGAGCAAGGTGACACAGGACTGTGGCATGGGGGGGTCACACTCAGCATGACAGCAGCATGGAGGAGGTGCAGAGGTCCTGGACACTGTGGGACAGTAAGGAGAGGGTCTTGGGAATTCCTCCTCTTGCACAGGGAGAGCCTGGCTGTTAACAGCAAGGTAACCCCACTGGTTCCAGTGGCACCAATACTGGTCTGTACTGGTTGGAGAGCAGAAGCCAGCCCAGGGCACACAGCCAGGGCAGTGCAAGCCTGGACACCAGAGACCATCACAAACCCCTCATCCAGCCATCACAAACCCCTCATCCACACACATCCTCATCCCTGATGGGACTTTGTCATCACCCTGTGCTCTCCCACCCTGACCCCAGGTCTCTGCTGGAGATGGGGTTCCCCTGTCTCAGGGGTGATGCCCAGGGCACAGGAATGTTCCAGCCAGTCAGTTCCTCACTGTGGAATTCAAACGCAGTTAAGAAAGCAAACAGCCAGGCAAGGAGGGCTCCCCTGGGTGAGAGTGCCCTTCTCGCGTCTGTCGCGCTCACTCCCGGCTCCACTCGGAGTAAGCCGGAGTCGTGGGAAGCCTCACAGCTCTGCCACGGCTTTGTGGCATCCCCTTGGCCGAGTTCCCCAGTCCCAGGGCAGTGCCGCGGGATCCAGCAGCAGAAATCGCTGCAGGCAAGCAGAGCCAAGCAGCTCCCGAGGAGAACAGAAAACCTCTCCATACCTGAGCGCAAGCGAGCGGCGCCAGCCCAGCCCGTCCTCCCTCTCTGCGCCGGGCAATAGCCTGGACTAAGCAAAAAGGCAGCGAGCAGATCCCTGCGGTGACCCCAGACCCCCAAACACAGTGGGGAGTGCTGGAAACCTCTGGGCTGCGCTCACCCCACCTCGAGCTTCGTTCCTCGGCACGTTCCCCTCCATCCATAAGGGGTTTTGGTCCCTCTCCCCATCGAAACACCAAGGAACTGCCACCACCTTGTGTCTCAAGCTCAGGAGCAGCCCAAGCACATCTCCAGGGAAGCAAAGAAGCCGGAGAGCAAGGGCTGGAGAGAGGAAGCGAATGTTTGGAAGCAAAAATGGGGAGTTACAGCAAGGGGAAAAGCAATGGGTGGGTACGGGTGTGCTGAAGCCGGAGGGGTTCGGGTTTGGACACCCACCCCAGCCCCACTGCCAGTTCAGGGTGGGTTTCGAAATCCCCAGCTGCACCAGCAGGCTTAAACCAGAGGAACCGATTCGCCCCCACTATCAACATCTCCGAGAACGGTACTCAGAACGGTACCAGCGGCGAGCAGCCCTGCGATAGCCCCAGAGGCACCGGCGGTGGGGTGAACCTGCCCCAGCGAGAGTCGCACGCTGCCCCGCGGGCAGGACCTGCCCGGATCCCTGCACGGCCGGCTGGGCTGAGTACACCTGCACGCACAGCCCCCAGGGACACCCGGCCACCACAGCCCGCAGGGACACCGGGCCACCACAGCCCCCAGGGACACCCGGCCACCACAGCCCGCAGGGACACCGGGCCACCACAGCCCCCAGGGACACCCGGCCACCACAGCCCCAGGGACACCCGGAGCTCGCACAGGGACACCCGGACACCACAGCCCCCAGTGACACCGGCCAGCCGCATCCCCCCGCACCAAACGCGCTCCGCCGGCCGCTCCCCACCCGCAGGAGCCGGGCGAGGCGGCCAGAAGGAATCACCAACTTTACCTAAAGGGTCTCAAGGTGACGAGGCATCTTCTGACCATTATCTTGCCATCCGCGTTGACAGTGATCATCGTTCAAAGTTGCGGGCAGGGGGCGGCCCCGCACCCCCCCAGCGGCAGCGAGGGCGGCAGGAGCGGGGCTCAGCGGGCGGGGGCTGCGCGGGGGCACCGGGGGGACACGGCCCCCCTGCCCTACCCTTGCCCCTGCCCGCTGCCGGCCGAGCCCATGGCCGGGCCCCGGGCTCCGCTCCGCGCACCCCGCGCTGCGGCTCCGCTCCGCCCCGCACCGCCCCGCGGAGCCTCCGCCGGGCTCCGCCGGGCTCCGCTTGCCATCTAGCGGCAGCCCGGCCCCGCAGAGGGGGGGTCGGGGCAGGGCGGCAGGGGAGTGGGGGTGCGGCAGCCCCCCCGAGGTGAGGGGATGGCGTTTTGAGGGGAGGATGGCCGGGTTTGGGCGGAGAGGGCGGCAGCATCCCCGCGCAGGTGACAGCCCGCGGCGGGGGGACCTCGGGAGGCAGGGCTGGCCCTTTGGAGGGGACAGCCAGATCAGAAACGCCACCGAGCACCGTGCCGGAGTGATGTTCGATTTGGGGGGGGTTAGGAGCAGGGCAAACCTCCCTTGCCGGAAAAGGCGGGTCTGGAGTCTGGCAGCACCAGGCTGCAGCTCTGTGGCCCCATCAGATGTTTTCTCTCTGGGGGGCACAGTCACGGCCCACGATGTGGGTCCCCAAATTCCCCGGGTATTTTCAGGGTACCGCCAAAAGGACCAGGGCGGTGTCCTTGGGAAGACAAAGAAAGGGCCGTGAGAGCTGAGGCAGGAGAAGAAGTACTGAGCTCAGCAGAGGTGTTTCCAGCTCTCCTGTGAAAGGTGGCAAGCACAAAAAGCTTCCCAAAAGTTGGGATTTAAAGGAGCCAAGTGTGCACAGAGCCCAGAGACGCCCCATTTCCAACCCCAGCCAGGATGGGTGCACCCCACTGAGGGTGAGGGACAGGATGCAGCACTCTGGGGTGGGCACAGAATGGCTGGAAGGACAATGCTGTCCCCCATGTGCACTCCTGGCCAGGCTACAGGACAGGGCCAGGCTGTGCTCTGGGGGGCTGTGATGCCAACATGCCACACTGACCCCGTGGCTGCTGCCCCTCTTTGCACAGGACACCACCACAGGTAATAAAGCACAGGTGACACTGGGTGACAGCTGTCCCTTTGCCTTCCCCACACTGGGATGCTCTCCCCCCATGGTCTTCCCCAGCCTTTCTCCATCCCATTTTCCTCCAGAGAGAGAAACCCCCCTGCAGCCCTACCTGCCTGGCCTGGCTTAGTGATCCCTCCTCAAGTGCTGAGCAATTCCAGTGCCCTCCCAGCACCAGCCACTCCCTCCTCTAAAAACCAACCTTGATTGTGCACAATCCCAGGGTTTTCCCGTGGGGCTGATGAGGAGGAAGTGCTGCTGTGATACTGCATTTCCACAGGCATCCCATGTGCTCACACTGTTTCCTTCTCCCCAGTGGAAACCAGCGGTGGCCTTGGTCACCTCCAGGGAGCCTAAGCTGCAACAGCACCAGCCACACGTGAGCTCAGGGATAGCAACTGGAAACTTACCCCAAATCAATTTTTTATATAATTTTATATATTCTTTTATAAAACAGCACTTTTTTTCCAAGCAGAAGTGAGAGGCAAAACCCTATTCTCCAGGACTTCTTAAATGCAGAAGGATTTTTGTGTTCATCCACACTTTTCATGGGCAGGTGACAGGGAAGGAGTCATTGTCACACAGAGTAGGATCCCAGCAGGATGCAGACGGACACACAGACTGAGGATTTGTGTGGCTCAGGAGCAGCACAAACAAACCCTCAGGTCATCTTGGCAAGGACACCCTTCTCTGAAGCCCATCCTGTGGGGATCTTATGGACACAGCCAGGCAGCCCCAGTGCATGGGCAGACCCCAAACACCAGCTGGGTGCTCGGTCCCTGCTGTTTTAGGTGCAGCTGGGAACATCTGGCCTCCTCTGGATTCTCCAGGAGGGGAGCAGCAGCCTAATGAAGGTGCCATGGGGATCTTGCTACCTGTGATTTTCTGCCTGCTCACTCCATTCCCATCTCCTGCTGCTCTGACAGGAATTCTTAGTCCTCACCTGAGCAGCAAAACCACCTCAAAATCTGGTGCTGCCCTCCAGAGCCCGGCTCCAGGAGAAGGCAGAGCCCTTCATTCCAAGAACTTCTTTCCAAGATCAGCTCAGCTCCATGGGGCTGGAAACCTTCCTAATGCACATAAACACTGCATGGAGTGGGTGGTGGAGCAGCCAAGCCACCTCCTGGGGTGTGCCAGGATCCAGCTGTGCCTTCCCGAGAGCCTGGGGTGGGGGGACAGGGAATATCCAGCCCAGGAGGACAGAGCAGGGGGGCCCAGAGTTCCAGTGAGGGGTGAATTCTGCGGGATGGGAACCTCTGACCTCCAGAAGGATAAATCCAAGGTCCTTCTGTGCATCCCACAAGCTCTGGATTGTGCCAGTCCAGCTCCTCCCCGAGGCCACTGGCAGCGGCTTCCCAGCAGGAAAATCTGGGGTGTGGCAAGGCACCACACATTAATTATTTAAGAATTAGGGGTGAGTGCCATTGAGGGGAGAAGGGACCAGGGAGGAGATGGTGTCCTCCCATTCCTCCTTCCAGAGCTTATCCCAGGCTGGAAAACTCCCCCAAAGGGTTTGGCTGGTCCTGGGCAGGCAGAAGGCAGCTCAGACACTTTGGCTTCTTCCAGGTGCCTCCTGAACACTGACCAGGAAATGAAAATGAAATAAAATAAAATACAACATTAAAAATTTAAAAAATGAAATAAATTATAAATTATAAATTATAAATTATAGAATATAAATTATAAAATATAAAATATAATAATATAAAAATATGTAAATATAATAATATATAACAATATATAACATACAATAATATATAACAATATATAGTAATATATAATAGAATATAATATGAAATAAAATGTAATATGAAATATTATATAATATAAAATATAATATGAAATAAATAAAATAAAATAAAATAAAATAAAATAAAATAAAATAAAATAAAATAAAATAAAATAAAATATAGAAATCTGCTCTTGTCTATCTCCATGCACATCCTGGCAGGGTGCTGGGGTCAGCAGCAACAGTCAGAATTACTTCTGCCACTCCCAATTCCCACCAGAATCAGCTGTGCAGGATCCACCACAGCAACAGGAATGTGGCATTCCCCATCCCCCCAGGGCCCTCATCCCTGAGGAGAAAAGCTGCAGCAGACAGTCCTTTCCCTGTGCTGCTGCTTGAAACAAAAGCTTAATTAACTACCAGCTCGATGTCTGTTTAGAGGGATAAATCTAAAATCCAAGGATGGTAATAAAGTAGTGAATTATCTTCTTCGGCAGCTGAGAAGCAATAGCCCCAAAAATCAATATGCTGAAGTTATAGTGCACACACACATACACACACACACACAGAGGTTTGTTTGTTATTCTGAATTCAGCAGCAGCAGGGAATGGAGAGAACCAGCCCAGCAGCCAGCTGGCCCAAAAGGAACCAGTTTTACACCGGTTTTTACACCCAGATGTGGAAATGGAGCATCTCTGGTGCAGGCTCCAGGCTGCCCCTCCACAGCTCTGCCTGTAACTGGGCCAGGGCCAAAGCTCCGACACCAGAGCATGCTCTGGGAGATGGGACTCACCTTCCAGCACTGGCCCAGTGTCCTGGTTTAGGGCAAATTTGGGAGGAAACCTCCAAATGGGGTCCCCTTCAAGCTGCCCTTACCCCCCACAGGTCTGGGAGACATAAACCTTCTTTGAGAGAAGTGGAAAAATCTGTTTGTTTGACAAGCAAAGTACTCACAAACTTGGAAAATGGATCATATTAAACAATGGAACCTCTCTCTGCTCTGAAGAGGTGGCAAATTCAGAAGTTCTTGTCTGGGGGCAGCTCAGCTCAGTCTCTTATCAGCCCCTCCTGGCTGGAAAATGCCGCGGCCCGGCCCTGCTGGGCCCAGGCCTGAGCTCCCGGGGTTTGTCTGGGCCTTCAGTCCAGAGCAGGGCCCAGCAGCTCCAAGAAAAAGAAAAGCCACAGTCTGGGGAACTTCTCTGCCTCAGCTGGCTGAAAAAACAGCCGAAGGAGAGCTGTGTCCTGCTGTCCCTGCTGCAGACAGCACAGTCCAGGAGCAGGAGCACAGAGCAGTCAGTGCTGTTTGTGCAAACAAACTGCGGCCTCTTCTCTCCCCCTTCACACTCAGAACCGGCCTTAGAGGGGCAGAACTTAATATCCAGCATAAACAGAACAACTGGGGGTACAAGCATCATAAAATCACCCTAGGACACCCAGCAAAAGACCTTGGGAATTTTCAGCTGATCCCTGGTAACTGTGCAAGCCCGAGTCCCACAGCTCCCCAACCTGCCGTGGCTGCACAGAACCTCACTGGGTCACCACAGCTGCAGAAAAAGGGTTATAAATGCAGGGGAGCTGTAACCCACCAGAAATAAAGCTTAAAATACATTCCTGCAAAGGTCACGGACACACACTCATCGCTGCTCAGCTGGGGCACCTCCAGACAAGCCACAGTGACAGGATTTACCTGGGCTTCACCTGGATCATGTGCTGGGGATCCAAAAGCACCCCAGGACCCTCCAGAGACTCCCCACTCCAGCCCAGGACCCTGCTTCAACCCTTTCCAAAGGCTGGGGGTTGGGTCTGCCCATGTTTCATCTTGGAGCCTTCTCTCGAGCCTCAAGCTACTTGGTCTTCATGGAAAAATAATGATCCTGGAGGGGGAGAATCACAGCAAACGGTGGAGCTGTAATGTGCCATGACAAGCCACTTCCTTAAGTCCTCCCCACGCACAGCCTTGCCCTTGAGATAAGAGAGATAATTTGATTTCGGGAGCTGCGATGCCCAAATGCTCTGGGCGTTAGGATCACTTAGTCACCGTAACTTCTCTGTCCCCCCCAGGCAACATTGCTGGGGACAGGGAGCTCTTTTATTGACATGAAACCACTGGGCTCCAGCGCTGGCTCAGCCTCAATTGCTGCATTCACGCCTCTGCC